AAAAGACAACGCTGCCTGCTTTCACCAGTTTATTATTGATTACTCTCATTGTACATCTTTACAGTATTGACGAGTTTAAAATATCCACGACAGAGTCCTCTCCTGTCAGACTGAGGGGCTCAGGTGAGCTAAAGGACTCTGAGTGTTTAGATTAGAACGGTTTTGTCACAAATTATTCAAAAGATTATTTCCGCGGTACACCTTCATATGATCATTATAGTTATACAAACAATAAGAGAATAAATGAAAAACAGGTATGAAATAGCCTACTATACAGTATGTCAGTAAAACAAGAATACAGTTTAAAAGGGGAGTGATTTGTAAAATATCCATAAAGAAAAAGAAAATCTGTTTACAGTTCTGTTTCATATGGGTGCTGAGAGGTATCCATAGATCTCTTCATGTTGCTCTCAAAGTGCACCAGATTGATGCTTTCAACTTCAATATTTAAAAAATAATCTTCCCGGGGGAGCGGACCCCCCTAGAGGAGGTGAGGACCTAGAGGAGGTGAGGACCCCCCTAGAGGAGGTGAAGTCTGCCCCCAACTCGCACATAGCACTTTACCCCTGCCTATATGCCGTGAGCTGATTATGGAGCCTTCATTGTGACAGTAATTCGGATGCAATTAGCCTATATAAAAGGCCTCAAATTGGAAGCACTGTCTGGGCCGTCTTTTTCACTCAATTCTGCAATAGGTAGATCTCGCCTTTCACCTAGGCCGAGGTCGGTGATCTTGGGCTTAAAAAGGTTGGTGACCACTGCTCTATATAATCATTTTTGACTCTTGGTAGTTGATTTGAGCCTCTTAGTCTTCTCGCAGCTGTTTTGCATTTTTTGTTTTTTTGGTCTCTTTGTAGTAGTGTCCTGTTTTGATTGTGCTCGTTTAGTATCTCTTCGAGATTATTTTGAGCCTCTTTGTAGTTGATTTGTTTGATTTGGTCGTTTTAAAACTCTTTGTTGTCTCCTTGTAGTTGTTTGTCTCTTTGTAGTTTTGTTGTGTCTTGTGTTTATTTTTGAGATTCTTCGTAGTTGTTTTGTGTGTATTTGTAGTTGTTTTGAGTCTACAGTATGTGTCTTGTCTCTTTGCAGCTGTGTTGCCTTCCTTGTAGTTCTTTGGTCTCTTTTTAGTCTTGTTGTGTTTGTTTGTGGTAATTTTCAAGTTTCGAGGCTTTATTGTCATGTGCACAGTAGCTACAGTGTAGATATGGCAATGAAAAACTTAAGTCACAGGCTCCTCCAACAATGCAACATCAATATATAAAGGACATAAAACAAAAACAATTGTTATAGAGAATGTTTTGAGATCTGCAAGTCAATACAAAAAAATAGAAATAGTGCAAAAAGAGTCTATATACACGCAAATGTAATGTGATTTATAGATAAATAATTTGCAAGATGCACAGATTGATGTTTATGGATGTTCTTTAAAAAGTTCAGGTGTAGTCTTATGGCCAGGCATGGTATCATTCTTGGTGATTTTGTAAATGAAAGCTAGGGGTGTCACTGGGTCTGTGCCCGGTTTGCCCATTCATTGACTGGTTAAAGAATGCTTGTGCAAAACTCACAGCAAACCCATGGGTGTAATATCTCCATGTGGCCAGCAGGGGGGGAGGGTGCTAGTGTCCTGGTTTTGGAAAGGGGGGTGTCCTCTCTGCAATCAGCATTGGACAGCAGCTGAGCTGAGTGCTCCGCCTCGCTTCAATAATCTTTAAAACCTGCTCGAAACCCACGAACACGCATTCATTTACCTGCTGCTAATAGCCGAGAGAAGATGTTCTGCAGACGGGCATTGCAGAGAGTCGGGCCGCTGGCACGGAGGGCTTTCGCACCAACATCCAGAAATGGTAAGTAGCTCCAAGATTGTCATTTAATGTTCATTCTGAATGGAGTTTACAGGATTTGCTATAAAATGTGTAGAAGTAAAATCTAAAGGCCTGTGATGCGTTTACCAGCTTTTCTGGATTAAAATGAATTGATTTATTTAAACGTTTTCTGAATGACTGTCTCCAAGTCAAACAGTTGAAAACGTGGTTAAACATACATGTAAAGAGTTAAAAAATGTACTAAGTTACATTTGCAGTAAGGATTCCTTTTTTAAATCTTGACAATTTTAGTAGAAAGTCTCAAAGAGGTCTATTCATTGTTATGGTTTCCATTGTGCAGAGCAGCAGTGGGAGGAGGTGTGTCCTGCTTTGGGAACACACCGTTCTTCCACTCTGGTTATGAAAGAGCGAACCACACACGACAAGAATGATTTTGTGATTCAACGTTAAATAACCAAGTTGCATCAAGTGCACTACATTTTTTTTTTTTTAAACATGAAGTCAATCATCAAGCATTTAGTGAAGTGTTGGCAAAGGAATAACGAGTTATTAGCTTTTCTTTGTCCTGGTTACATGTTGTCCTAGGACTTTTTCAAGTGGCCACATGGAGTTCAGCTATATGCAATGCATACGTTCAACCCCTCCTAAAAAGCATATGAGAATGGGGGGAAAAAACGCCCAAAAACTACAATTGAATGCCAATAACCTTTTGCATTCAAAAACTTGAATCAACATGGACATTTAGTTTGCCAATGCATTTGTATTTTTAAACCTCACTCAAAGTGGTTCTGTTAAATTGAAGAGAATGTAAGGATGTAAATGTCATGACTTTCTCTTTTCACGAGTCCTTGCCCTAGATAATCCTTTAACTTTGGGATCTGAGCTTGTGGAATTTAGCCTGAGGTCAAACTGCTGCTTTAATTTCCTGTTTTGAAAACCAAACACATTTCTGCTCAAAGCTATAGCACACAAGATAAATTGTAACTGCAACCTGCAACAGTTGGTTGTATCTTGATGGCTGAATTGTGCAAAAGTTAACTAAAACTTCATGCCTGACAGGGCCAAACTTTGACCTGGTTGTCCTACAGGTCTGCATAACCATACCCCTCCCCCATGTCTGAGCACATGTCAGCTGAAAGACCATAGCAGGGGTGCAACATGCATGTGGAGTCAACCCATGTCATCATGGCGGCCATCTTGTGTGTTGTTGCCTGATGAGTGTGTCCATTTTTCTTACAGGCTTGAACCTCTGCAGGGATTAACTGATTACCTGTATAAATAACCTGTACTTGGCTTTCACCCTTCATGACGCTACTGTGTCATCGGTATTAGAGGACTTACTGTTACATTGGCTCAGTATCCACAACAGGACAATGTCAAGCTCTGTTTTTGTTTGTTCTAGTTGTTTTAATGTATCTGTTTGTAGATTTATTTGTGACTATTTATTCCTGATCAATTAAAAGAGTTGGCATTATCTATGAGAGGAATCAATAGTCAGAGACATGCTATTGAAAGGAATACAATCTTGATTTCCATCCATCGTCACTTTTAATTTAAGTGGTAGCCTATTTCAAGGAATACGTTTCTTGGGCCAGCAACCAATCATGCTAGCTTGGCACAAAATAAATGAGAACTTTGGTTAAGGGTAGCAATATCTGCCATGGGGAACTTCTAATGCTAACTAACATGTGTATATTTTATCCTTTTTTTTTTCTTTTTTTAAACCGCCACTGCCAATAAATTGTTTGTCCCATAACTATCTATTAAAGTTTTGTTTTCTTGTAAGTAAATACAATAATTAGTGGTGCTGGTATGTTCATTTTTTTCCTCTCTTTGCACAGAGCTAGTCTAGCTAGTTTCCCCCTGGTTTCCAGTCTACATGCTAGGCTAAGCTGAGGTCAAATCCTGGCTGAGCCAACATTTCCTCAACCTAAACGAGAGTAAGACTGAGGTCATCTTTTTTGGACTCCAGCCTCCCAAGTTGATACTCTGGGCTCCCTCAAAAAAAACATCCTCCCCTCTGTCAAGAACCTTGGAGTGACCTTTGATAGCACTTTCACAATTGATAAACAGGTCAGCAGCGTAGTTCAAACCTGCTTTTTTTAAATACGACTATTGGCTAAGACCAAGTCGTTTTTATCTTTTAAAAACTTGGAAAGGGTTATCAACGCCTTTGTAACCACAAGGTTGGATTACTGCAACGGTCTGTATGTGGGTATGGACCAGGCCTCAATTAGACGCCTGCAGCTAGTGTAGAACGCCGCTGCACGTCTTCTTACTGGCCACAAAAAGCGTGACCACATTACCCCAATTCTGGCCTCACTGCACTGGCTTCCAATTCGGTTCCGAATTGATTTTAAACTCCTTTTATTTGTTTTTAAAGCACTAAATGGGCTGGCTCCGGCCTATATAGCTGAACTCCTCCAGCGCTACACTCCAGCCAGAGCCTTAAGGTCTGCTGACCAGCTACTGCTGGTAGTGCCCCAGACCAGGCTCAAAACCCGAGGGCACCGAGCCTTCGCAGCAGCTGGTCCCAGGCTCTGGAACACTCTGCCCCTCCATATGAGGTCGGCCCAGACTCTAGGGGTTTTTAAAACAAAACTAAAGACTCACTTCTTCTCCCTGGCATTCTAGTCCGAGCAGAGTATGACTACGGACAATTCCCTGTGTTGGATTTTTATATTTGTTGTGGTAATTTATTGTCTTCTGTTCTTTGCGAATGTAGTAATGTGTTATTTATTATTTGCATGTACAGCACTTTGGTCTCGACCAAAAATCGTTTTAAAATGTGCTTTATAAATAAAACCTGATTTGATTTGCTAAGCTAACTGGTTGCAGGCTTTAGCAGATGGTTGTACAAGGAAGCAAGTTTGACAAAGCGTGGTTTTCTTTGCATTTGATGGCCTGACATAGCATAAAGCCCCAATATGTGTGGTACCACGTCAGCGGTTATCCGAGGGAAGCGACAGATTTGGGTATCAATTCTTTGTAGGTAATTCTGAGGAGCGACTCGTCCCTATTGTTTCCACAACGTCATTATGTTACCATGACCTATTAATTAAAGGGAAAATGTAACCGATTAATAGTTATTAGTAATGCGCTAAGAAAATGATTACCTTTTGCCTCACACCAACATCTGTATATATGTTTTTTAATTAATCATTCAAACTTAATTAAGGTCAGAGGTCATCTTTAATACTAAATCTTTAATTGTTTAAACCAATTCAAATCATCTGTACTTCTTTGACCGGCTATAGTGACTGCAACAGGGGAAGGATTATCTGTATGTAAATGTGTGGAGTCATTGAGAAAGTCACAGGAAGAGTTATGATTTGACACGCATGGAACATGGGAAGGACGAAAAGGGTGCTGGGCTGTACATTGTTCTTTCACCGCTTCAGATGGCCTACTCGTGTTGCGGAGTAAACCACATGCATGTGCACACACAGAGGGCGTGAATCATGCTTGAGATAATGTATGTACTGTAGCTGTGTGCACGTACACTCTTTGTATGTGTGAGATCTATGTAGAAAGAGATTAGGCTGAGGCAGTGTTTGGGATGCAGGGTGGTTTTATTTACGACCTTCTCTGCATGCACCACTGTCAATCCTTTTTTTAAATGCAAGCAAATCTTTTACCGGCTGCAGCAATCACCACCACAAATAGCCTATTAAGAAGCATTTGACAGATCCTTAGTAATGCTTGACATGCGTGTCAAAGGACTTATCCACATGACTTGAAGCCCTTTAGATAATTAAATGTTTATTTTTTAGATTGTGAAATGGGAAGTGTTTTCTTTGTGGAATTAACTTAAAGGACAATTTGGTGTTTAACCAGGCTGCTGCCAAATCTTTTCAACTCCTCTTCTAATGACCAGGGCTGTATTGTGTAACTGGATTAAGGGATAGGGACATGTTGACGCTGTCAGAAGGCACTATACTTTGTGCCAAGTACAACTTCTGATGGCAGAGTTGCCTCAATAACGACCACATGTTTATTGTAGTTTCTCTTTGATTATCATTTCTTGACGTGCTCATTTTGTATCAAGTGACAAAAAGAAAATGCCCTTTTATATGTTCAACTATTGGTAAAGTGCATGCATTCCATCCAATATTGCGGTTGATGCTTTAATATATAAAGTAAAATGTTTGCTTTTGGCTTCCAATCATGTTTCTAAGCTAACCCTGTACCTCTGCCCTCTTGTGTTTCTCAGCAGCTCCAGTGCGACACATGGCCTTCGGGGTCCCCGGGGGCTCCAGCAACATGGCATACTTTGTCCTGTGTGGAGGAGGCCTCACTGCTGCAGTCGTCTATGTGAGTATCTGTGAGATTCCTCCACTCTAACTGCCTGGTCTGCATTTTTGTGGTTCTGCTGTGATTTTTAATTTTTTTAAAGTGCCGTTTCACTCAAAATCTGTCCTCTCATTATCAGTGCTGAGTGTAATTCAAAGATTTTGAAGGAATATTGAGTGATTTCTAGAGGGTAATAACTTTGTCCCTTTTCGAAGTATGACCTTTTTTTTATTATTTAAAAGGAGCAAGTATACATGCTGTAACATACATGTGTGTTTCCCAATGCCAAGCATAGGTAACATCCATGTGACTCTGGACACCTTTACGGTGTACTCAAAACATTTAAAAGGTTGAGTGTGGAATGCTGGACACTTTTCACATTCAACAACGGAAGTTGCAGTCAATCATTTGCTACTGCAAATTTTAGCTTGCTAGTTAGCAGCAACGAGTGTCAGTTTCTGCAGAGCACAGCAGCCTTGTGCAGTTTGAACCACACAAGTCATACACGGCAAGTGTTTAAAGTGTACAACATGGTAGTGTACTAAGGAGAGTACATTACATTGAGAGACAACATATTCCAGTGGTGGCTGTGTGATTTAATGAAAAGTAATACCAATGTATTCAATTGAAGTTCTTCTTGAACCTAAACATGTTTTATTTGAAGTCACACATTCTGACAAACATTGAAAGTTCAAACCACAATAGAAGATTTAATTAAATTTAAAAAAACAAGGTACAACAATCCAAAGTTGTCGTTTCTTGGCTGGTGTATACTGAGAGCCGGTAACATGCATCATCAGACTGAAACTGTGTAGAGCAGACATCACCACGACTCTGACAATGGAAGGGACATAGAACGTTCTTTGTGCATTCTACAAACGGTAAACAAGAACAAGTCTGCGCCCCAAGACAACAACTAGCAGGCTCTTTGCAAAACACAAGTGTATATCAGCTTTTGTGTTTATGTTAGACAAAATTTCAGTTTAAGCTTTTGCTTTAATCATTTGCTTTGTTGGAATCTAATGCTTGCATATCTGCCCTCTTTCTATCAGGCCTACAAGACAGTCAATGGTGGTGTTGAGGAAAAAGTCGTCAGCGTTGAATCCACAGCAATGGGTCAGTTGTGCACAAACATTCACACACCTTACCATTACTCAACCTCCTTAGGTTGTATTTCCAAATAGTTCTAAAAGAAGTTGTATAAAAACATGCATATCTCGTAACATGCATAAGTACATTTGTGACCCGCTCTATCGAAATCAGTCGGAAGTCGCAACGGCTCATTTCAAAATAAACGTGGATTTGCGTAAAAAACTATTTGTCCGGGTGTTTTGTTTGATTTTAAACAAAGTGTTGGCTTTCAGAATATGAAACTTTTATTTCCAAACTCACACGATAAATACATTCTTTAAGCTTGTAAAGGGAAGATGAAAGGCAATCTGCTCTTCCGCAGCGCCGCCCCCCCTCCCTCCGGCTGACATTATGAATGTAAGCGTAGAGTAATCATAAATAACACGGCAGGGTCTGTTACAGTTTGTTTTCATCTGATTTCAATTAAAACAAAGTCTTGGCTTTGAATATTAAACTTGTTTCGGCAAATTCAGATGATAAATACAACTTTGAAGCTTGTTAAGGCATAATTACAAGCGGAGAACGGAGTAATGTAACGTCACAGCAGGCATAACAACAGCCGGTGTTTCTCATGAGGGTTTTCCCCTGGAAAACAAACGCAATACACACAAACGCAAAAAGACACAAACACACAAACACACACACACACTCGTGAGCTTCCCCCAGACCAGTAATCCAAACGAAAATATCTTCCCTCCGTAGTATTTTGATCATTTGCTCCGCTAATAATCAATCAGATCGATGGATTCCAGAGAAGAGAAAACTTTGAAGGCCTTTTTCTCAAAATGATGACTCTGTGACAGTCATTATATAATGTGACATATTTCGCTTAATATTTGGAGTACAAAAACAATCCTGATATCATTAGAAAGCTAGGAATATCCTCTTTCCAGCAGTGTATACAACTCAAAATGTCTCTTCGGGTCAAAGCAGGTCACATTTCAAACAATGACTAGAGTTAATCCCAATTAACATATGTCCACATGAATAGAGTATTTGTAGGCAACGTGAATAGATATTGGAAACGGAAGCAATCATGTTTACGTTTGGTCAATATTACCTCACTGGACTACAATTACTTCAAGCGTACTTTAGTTTAGAAAACTGGCTTATCTACTCAGGTTTTAGACTTCATCTACATTCTTATATCTCAAGTTGCTATTGGACAGTATACAATGACTAGTGCAAAAATGAAGGTACTCTAGATATCTGCTGGCTGCACCCCCAAAATATTGGCAGTTGCCTGCAGAGGCTCATTGTCATTTAACTAATAGCTAATGGATTCCGAAACTAGTCTACAACAAACTCCTTGAATTACTGCAATAAATTATCATGTTACGCAGAGATGTTCTCCATAAAAGTGTAGTCTGTTGGCACTAAGCTTAAAGTACATCAGTTTTGCAAGTATTTGATCAGTCGCAAATAATTGGATACATTTTTGACCTGATCTAGCGAGTCCTTTTTGGAAAGACAATCTTCATCGTCCCTTAAGAATTAATTAATTTGAAAAGACTAGACTAAGATGACCAACTGCGTAATCGCACAACTGTGGATGGAATTGACGTGTATCCTTGAGGTATTAACTGAAATAACCCAGGACAAAAAAAAAACTTTGGACTCAATAATATCTATCGTATAATGTGATAAAGGGAGTTTAATTTTGCTCAATGAACATGTACCGAGTACTTTAAGAACTGCTGTTCTGAGATATGGAAGGCAAAATAAGGCGGATCTTGCTGCATTTCCGAGTTGGTTCTAGCTTCACCGCCCACATATCAAACATGGTTGCATGATCACTCTCAATAGCTTGATCTTGCCTGTCTGTTTTCATTTCTGTCTGAGATTGATTTGTCTATTCAGCCGGTACGAGCCTGGATAGAGTGGCTCAGCGCCTAGAGCAGCAAACTATCCTGTAATGTGGAAAAGCTTTCTATGGTCCGGTTGTGTTCATGCAGCCTGGAAATGTTTTGTTTTTGGTCAAAGTATAAAGTTCCGCTCCATCCATGATTATGATCAACATCAACTTGTGCTGACACGAGTGTCATTAAAGTGTCAATTAGTTGGGTGGTTTGGCTGTATGTAGAAACTCACCTTGGCCACATTTGAACAATTTCAATTTTTGTAGCATTTGGACTACTTAAGCCATGAGAGGCAAATTAGGATAAAAATAAGTTATTTAATTCCAATATTTTTTTATGATTTTAAATTAACATAGCAGTACCCTAAATAAACACTTCTATTTTCCACCTTAAGATGTGTACGAGCTAAAATTAAATGGTTTCTTAAAAAGACCTTCAGTGAGGTCATCACCTGTTGGGTTTAAGGATTACCTTTCTCTTTCACTTACAACACACCGCTTTGCTTTTAAGACCTAAACATACCTACAAGACGGATAACTAATTTATTTGTATTTCATTTTTGCCCGATATCGTTAAAGACTGTATGTAGCCATACTTTAATATTGTGTCCCTAATATGTTGGGTTTCCAGGGCCATGAAAGATTAAGCTGGGTCTTCAGAAGAAGTTAAGGGGATTGGAGGAAGAATTTGACCTTAGTCACCTAGAGCGGATTACTGAGACGCATCTCTTATATTACATCAACCACTTGCTTATTTTTTAAAGGGGTTTATCAATAGTGTTTAAAAAATCTGACGTCCATTTCCTTTTCAATTATGTTGTGGTGGGATTAATGAATAAACGTGACGCATTTAAAAAGAATACGTTTTATGTTTATAAATCCAGCAAACCGTGCCTTTCCTTTTACATATATGAAGTTCAGAAGTATGCTTGTTGGATGAGAAATGTTTTCATAATTACAAGGTGAGCATTCATAAATAATCTTTAACTCAATATTGACCTGAAATTATAGTTGTTATTTTTGATCTACTCGGGCAGCCCTAGTTGAACTTGCTGTGCTTGAGCTATAATTTACTCTAATGACCAAATATTGTTTTGGCAAATAATCCAGAGATCTTTACACAAAAAAATGTTTTGGTGACACCCATAACAATAATAAAGTGAAGAAGTGTTTATAAAAAATTGCTTTTCTCTCACTCTATCTGCAGCTCCCTCGGCAGAGCCAGCAGCAGAAGTAACGGCCCCCGCTGCTGAGCCCGCCCCAGTGGAGGAGGCTCCAGCTGCAGAGGTGGTGGCAGAAGTCGTCACAGAAGCTGTCGCAGAGGTCGTCGCCGAGCCTGCTCCTGCAGAACCAGTGGCAGAGACCGCCGCAGAACCTGCCGTCGAGGCCGCACCTGAAGAAGCCCCCACTGCAGCCTCTGAGGTCGTCGCCGAGGTGGCAGCTGAGCCTGCAGCTGCAGAAGAAGCCGTGGCTCCTGTTGTGGCCGAGGCTCCTGTGGAAGTCGCCGCTGCTGAGGAGACGCCAGCAGAGGCCCCTGCTGCTGAGGCACCCGTAGAAGAAGCCCCCGCAGTAGAGGCCCCGGTAGCAGAAGAAGCTCCAGCAGCAGAGAGCACTGGTACGGCAGCAGTAGATGAAGCCCCCGCTGAGGCAGAGACGGGCTCTGTGGCCCCCGAGGCTGAGGCCGCCCCTGCTGCAGAGTTGGCTGCATAAAGATGTGACGTGCCATAGTTGCTCCGCGTTAGTTGTGCCGTGTCCCGCCTCTCTGGCCCGGGAAAAAAGGACTCATGAACCACTAGATTTCTCTTCCAGTTGCTCAATAAATGACCAGAGGTTCATCAGTCCAGTTTTTCAGGTGCCTTCCTTCCCTTACATCACCCCAACCTTCTGACCGAAACCAGAACATTTGGCATAAGGCTGTTGAGATTCAGTTTGGAAATACCTATTTCCCATAGGAATTGTTTTTAAATAACAAGAGCAAATGCAATTAATGGTTTGGAAGATGTACAGTTAATGGGAGTGTTGAACCAGGTGATTTAAGGGATATGAAAGAGTTATGTTTATGTGAATTGGTGTTCTAAAGTGCCCTTAAAACAGGACAGCCTCTTTTTATCTAAATATGTCCGCATGGTGAAGGAATGTAGTCCATTTGACATATTGTGTAAGTCTCATTCAACATAATTTGCACTTGGTCTACTCACTTACAGCTAAGTCCCATGCCTCATTGCTTATGAAAGGATTATCATGCAAACCGGGAGAAACCCAATTGACGCAAATTTAGTTTTGACAGCCTCACATTGCGTTTGACCAAAAAACAGTTTGCTCTTTTCCTGGCTGCAGCACTTGACTAGTTTTCTTCAATTCTTTTGCACATCTCCTTTAATTTCTACCCCATTATGATAATTTTTCTTCTTGCACATTCAAACACATAATTTGCCAGCCAACTCACTTCTCCTACTTTGTTCTTTGAATGTGAATTTGTTTCAGGGAACACTGCGGAAAGTTCATTCACCTGTTTTTGAGCAAGTTGTGATTAATACAGTCGCGTTATTCAAAGAATAAAACATCACTGGATGAGAATTGAGTGTCTACCTATTGCATTTTTTAAATGACTATATTATGGTTGTGCGGTAAGTGTATAGTTTAAACAATGTAGGTTTTATTTGTTTAAGCTTAACATTATGTTTTGTGTTAAATTAGTTGTTCAGAATAATTGTATTTGTCCAATGCTTATTTTAGGCATCTCCCTTATCCCATAAATCTTGTAGGTGTAGAAACGCCCACTTCCTGTAGAAATGCTTAATTTCCTGGAAAATCCCTGTACCATGTTCATGCTCCTGTGCCTGTAAGATCGCGCTGAGGGTCACGTTTATTCACATTGCTCAAAGTATTTTAAAGAGTCCTCACTATGTGCCTGGGGGTTTCCCTTTCCTGTAGTGTCTTATATAAGTTTAAGTGCATGTTGATGGTCTGCAAAGGCTAATATCCCAAAATGTGTCTCTCACACTTGGACAGTAAAGCATGTAAACATGTCACAGTAGAAACAAAAAAGACACATGAAAATGAGCATAATGGAGCCCCTTAAGAACTAGCCATAGCAAAGCACTATGTGATTTCTACACGGGATAAAAGACAGCATACTGAAATCTAAGCAAAATACAGAAATATTTACCTACAAATTGTGTGTAATGCATTGATCTGAAATATTTGCAATGTCAGGGAAGTGCTTGCAGAGCTCGCTAAAGAGCCCGTCAGATGGATGTGGCAAGTTCTGGACAAGTTAAGGAAAAAGAAACCTGCAAGCACTTAGCTTAATGCATACAGCTCTAACTTTCTTTTTTTAAATGGCCTTCAGATTTGATTTGGCTTTTTGTTTGTGGTCTTACTTGTACAGTTTAATCCCTTGCAGACGGGTTAGGACTAATCCTAGATTATTAAACTTGTTTTAGTGTGTCCTATAGTAGCTGAGCAGGAAAACAGACGGGCTCGTGGGAAGTTGTTTGCGGTTCAGGGATGTTGGCTAGTGAACAACAACTGTTTAAGTGTCCCATTAAGGGTTCACCCCAAAATCAAAAGTAGATATTTGTTCTCTTACCTATAGTGCTATTTATCAATCTAATGTTGTACGAGTTGCAGAGATGTCTACCTTATAACTAATATAATGGAACTAATTGGTTTATGGTGCTGAGAAAACCTCATCGGCAATGTGTTTTTCCAGAAATCCTAAAACCTTTTTTTGGAGCTTCACCTAGAAACTACAACTTTCTATCAAATCCCTGCTTGCATCTCTGGATCATTTTCCTGAGTTGGCTGCAGTTATATCTCAGCCGAGGAGGAAGCCATTAATCGCGATGGCTTGATCATGAGCTCCTCCAGGAGTAGATATTATACTATTCTTTATGCGCATTGTTACTTGACAACAGTTACATGAAACTCCTCAAATCAAAGTTTGGGATTATCTATTTTAACTGGGTCCGGATTTCCGTTAAGACATTGCTGCTGAGTTTCTAAATGCAATCATTTGGTGCTTTGAGCATCACAAGCCGAGTGCCATCTAGCCATATTCTATTTGAGAGAAGGCATACATTTCTGCAGCAGATATCCCTAACACCCGGCAGCTCACACCTAAACAATCTACATTAATAAAGAGCACTACAGGTCAAACTAAAAAGGGCTGATCTGATTTGTGTGAACTGTCCCTTTTAAGGCTTTTGTATTGAAATTGAGGTCTTTCAATACAATTCTCTCCAAAAAGAGTTTCATGCATTCACTACGATATCAAATGTTTGAAGTGCTGTTTTTGTCTAGAAAAGATTACAGCAGCAGTGTGAACTGGGCAGGTAGTCTCCTCTAGAGTACTCCCTGAACCTGGTGACTGTAGATAGAAAAATGACCAAGGTAAGTGGAACTCACACATCAAGCACTTCATATACAAGGATTAGTGCTGAAATGGCCTTCTCGCAGTTTACATTCATTCACAAGGTCTGCAACAGTGATTTTAGTTACTGGTTATTCTGGCATTTACTTTTGCTCAGTAAATTAGAACCCTGACATTCACAATTGAAATTGTACAGCACTGGAACACAGTCAAATGTCAGTTTAGATCATACAACAGTAATCCTGTGTATTATCAAGATTCCAATAAAGGATAATACATTTATAATAGAACAACTTCACTGCAAATGAGGCTCAAATACTAAGAGCTGTTGGAATGTTTGGACATATATTTAAGCAATTACTTCCTGTCCTTCAGAGTCTTCCCCCGACCGGTTCTCAGCTGTGAAGGTCTGGGCCAGCTCTTCAGTGGAGATCGCAGCGGCTTCTGTTGGGGAGACGCGTCTGGTGCAGGCTGTTCAGAATATAGAGGAGGACATACAAAGCTTGGAAGCCACACTGGAGGAGGTGAAGCAAGAAGTCCTGGAGACAATCCCAGAGGACATATCTGAAGAGGTATCCGTTGTGGAGAATGAGGAGGAGCTGAAGGCTGCAGAAGATGCTGAAGCTCCTGCTGCTGAGGAGCTGATCCAAGAAGCGACGCCTGCTCCTGTAGAAGCACCAGAGGAGGAGGAGGTGCTACTGCCTGAGGAACCTACAGCTTCAGCAACCACGGTGGAGGAGGTGGTTGAGGAACCGGCAGCATCAGCCCCATCGGTGGAGGAGGTGGCTGAGGAACCGGCAGCTTCAGCCCCAATGGTGGAGGAGGTGGCTGAGGAACCGGCAGCGGTTGTGGAGGAGGTGGCTGAGGAGGAACCGGCAGCTTCAGCCCCAATGGTGGAGGAGGTGGCTGAGGAGGAACCGGCAGCTTTAGCCCCAATGGTGGAGGAGGTGGCTGAGGAACCGGCAGCAGTTGTGGAGGAGGTGAGTGAAGTTGAATTTGAGGAAGCTGCTCCAGAAGAGGACGTCTCCTCCCCAGAACCCTCACCTGAAGATGCGGCTCCAGCTGAGGAAGAAGCTGTACCAAGTGAGGAGGCCACCACTGCAGAAGCTGCCCCAGAGGAGGAGACAGCGCCTGCTGCTGAGACACCAGTGGAGGAGGAGGAGGCAGCAGCAGCAGCAGAGGAGACGATGGAATCTGAGGAGGACACAGCAGCAGTGGTGGACACCAGTCAGCTGGCAGTAGCTTCCTCCGGGTCGGACCTGGAGGTCCTTCCTGCTGCTGAAGCTGAGTCTACAGTCAGTCCAGAGGCTGCAGAGCCAGAGGCAGAGCACTGCCACTCCTACCACTCCGCTCCTTCCGAAGCGGAGGAGGTGGCGCCACCTGCTGCTTCGGGAGAGCAGCTGTCCAGTGAGGAAGCTGTGGATTTTACACATGACGTAAAGGAAGAAGTGTCCCTGGTGGAAGGACAAGGTAATAACATACTGTATGAAGTGCTGGTCAGAAGTTTTTTGAACACCACATACCTAACATGTGTTGTCTATCTTGCAGCATGATAGTTACACTTGTTGCTTTGTCGATGTATTTAAAGTAAAGTAAAGAAATGGTATGGAATCAAACCCTCTCTATGGAAGCACTGAGAGGCAAGTGAGAAAAGATTATTCTGATCTCCACCAATTTGTTTTCTCTCCTTCTTTAATGGTTTTAGAATATATTAAAACACTATTTTTCTTTTTCAGGATAATCTTTTGAAATCCTTATTATTTTTGTAACAACAGTTAAAATAGTTGGAGAAAGGGGTGACATACTTTTTTGGCATGAACATTTAGGAATAGGACAGACATAATTTATGTTTTCATCCAGGTGACTTTACATGTCCAGACACGAGGTACATGAATAGTGTGTTTGCAAGTTATGGAACATTACCGTCCCTCTTTCTTTTGGCTAGAAAACCTGAAAGCCTATTGAGAACATCATGGTGCACTTCAGCCCCTTGTGGCTGAAATCAGCATTACAACAACACAAATACTTTTGCAACCATCTGTTTTGGAAAATCTACTTCCCCTGAGGCTTGAATAACACATAACATTTAAATGTAGACATGTATCCACATGTTTGACAATACATGTATTATACTTATGTAATTGAGTATGATAAGTAGGGTATTTCAAGCCTTTATTTATCCAGATTGTCCCTTGAGATCATAGATCTATTTTTCAAGGGAGACCTGCAGTTGGTATGGTGAGGAAGAGTTCCCCTCTGAACTTTCTCACTGTGCTGACACTACACATTAAAGGAAACTAAATGGCAGCACCATTGCAGAAAATCCATAAGCACGGAAGGACTAAAAAGCAAATGCGTTTTTTCTGGTAATCCATCTTTAAACTGGGATCTAATGTGTGTTTTCTACTTCCCTTGACATGACTAAATTGCCTTTGAGTGCTTCCGTAGACAGGTATAACTAATACCAATAATGAATCAGTGGGATTGTGCGCTGAATTTAGTGCGCTGAACTTTCACGGGGTAGCAAGTTCGAACCCCACTGCAGTCAGCATGTCGTTGTGTCCCTGGGCAAGACACTTCACCCCAAATTGCTCCTGTGGGGATTGTCTACAGTATTGAATATGTAAGTCGCTTAGGATAAAAGCCTCTAACAAGTGACATGACATGTAATGTAATGTAATTAATCAATCAACTATATTTAAGTGTGTCCGGTATTGTAAATGCTGGACTACTAACATGGCTTGATCACACACTTAAAAGATTCAACCATCTTTCACATGGTTTTCAGTTACATCTGTCCTTTCCCTGTTTTGAGGAAATGATGTAAAGGCAGACATGGATTTGTTAGTTTAGCAAACATTATCACATTCAATTATCAAAAACGTAATGATTAGTCTCTAATAAATGCGCAACACGTCCCACACCTCCCAAAATAAATTCAGTGTGGAGGATGACAATTTCTTCTGTTGACTTACAACCTATGTCTCCTTTTTTTAAGCTGACATCTTTATTGATGACATCTTTATATTGAAAGGCTTTAATTAGCAGTCTATGAAGACCACCTCATAAAACCAAATGACATAGAAACATTAGAAACTGAGTTTGCATTTCAAACATGTCTACATCATTTGATTACACATTGCATGCCATTACTCAGAGGTGCACATGTAAGGGACTTACTCAGTAAATGCTGCTAGATTGAATTTAATTCAAATACATCTTGAATTGTTGAGAGTCCCATTTACACAATACAAAATAAACTATTATTTAAAAACAAAACAATTGGAGTCGTCCCTCTGTTTGGCTCTGACCACATGTATTTCTGCCTGTATCCACAGAACCAAAGGGGTCTTTCTGGACTGTAAAAAGCTGCTCAGTGATGTAATAGTACAGTTAAAAGGTAAAAAGCAGCACAGCTATAAGAAGAGTAGAGCGACAGTCAGTAGAATGGACATCTCCAGGATATTCTCAGAAAGCCACATTTTTTATGTAATTTATAGAACTGAATTCAGACAACTAGATTTATGTTTTCAAAATGAAAAAATTAGACTTTAAGAACCAAGATAAAAAGAAAATATGTATCTCTTATTGGAAAGTAAAACAAATGTTTAAAAAGCCCTGATGTAATTGATCCCTTCACTCTATGCAGCCCATGTCCATTCTACTAACTTAAACTATACGACAAACTGGTAAATGACAAAGTCTCTTACACGGAGTGCGTTGATGTGTACCATACAAACTGGTGTTGTGCTTGTGTGTTCCAGCAACAGAGACTATGTTGGTGGTGGCAGCCCAGTCATGACAGACAGACGCGTGCCTTCCACAACACTCGAGCCAGGACCACTGATGGAAACAGGAGCTGAGCAAACAATGGTTTAACTAGCTAAGGTGTCCTCTATGAAATGTTATCAGAAGTATTTGTATTATGTTACCCATCTGTTTCTGATCATATTAGCATTTGGGGAGTTATTCCCTTTATGTCCATTAGGGGCCCCTGTTGCAAAGCTTTTAATGCTAGTTAAATGGAGACTTTTCTTTTTAGAAGGAAGTGGATTGGAAGGGGGTTATTGTAAATGTATTGTAATCTACCTAACACTTTCTTCAAACTGCACCATGAGATTTAAAACACCCATGTGTTTTCTTCAAGCTGATATAATAGCCATAAGATACACATTTTTGTCCTAGTGCAAATGTATCTTGAACTATCTTAAGTATTGTCATGCAGTCCTAGAAGAACACTTGAAAATATACCTGCAATACATAAGGCACCAATGCTGATATTTACTTTTTAAGTTGTAGTAAAACCATACGTTGGTGTGTATATAAAATATGTATATTGAAGATATTGGTGTCAATCGTTTACCTTCAACAGCAATACATGTGTAATATATAAAGATCCAAATTGATTTTGTACCATTTAACTTAATAATGTTAAAAGTAACATGCCTACAAACCTTAAGAGTTAGATGGATGGAATGATGAGCTTTGTAAATATATTAACTATATGTGAATACAGTAGCCTACATTTACTATACCGATTTGTATTTAGTTCATTCCGATGTCCTTTTGTCATGATAATGTGCTCACATAAACACTTTAAATAAAGTGACAACAAATGTAACTCAGTTTAGCTGCATACCATTATTTCAAAGTCTCAAAGTCAACTTTAATGTACATTTTTCTGTGTGTTTGTACAGACAGAGAGTTCGAAATAACGTTTCCAACCATTTCTAGTGTTAATTGATGTTAACATAGTAATGCACTGCGATATGTCCGTACACTGACCACTTGATGGAGATAGATAACTGCTAGGAGATCATTTGTGAAAGGAATTGTCAGAAAGTAAAAGTACCAAAAGTGTAATGTTCAAATATTCCATTAAAAGCATAAAGTCCTGCATTCAAAATAGTGGCACAGATGTAGACAAACAACGTTTTGGTTGTTGTTCGACTGGTTTCTTTAGACTTGGATCATTTTAAAAGTTGATCATGTTCTTTCATTTTAAATCTTAATTTTAAAATATAAGCTAAGTAAAAACACATACATTCCCTTCTATAAATATAGTGGAGTGGAAGTAAAAACTGGCATTGAATGGAAATATTCAAAGGAAGTACAATTATTAAATGTATTTAGTTGTCAAGGGAAGAAAAGCAAGGAAATTAATTCCTAATCAAACGAAACAATATACATCCTCTTCTATAGCTGAATGGGACAGGGATTTATTAAGGACTTTTAGTTTTATCAACAAAGAAAAAAACTCAACTTTATATAAAAAAGTGACACTGAAATGCATGAGTTTATTCGGTTTATTCTGGTGAACTGGGACTGTTTACTGTACGGCGTGACGTCACTGGGTTAATTCGCCTGAACGAGCGGAGTAAACTGACAGCCGGAGTCCGTCTCCATTAACAGAGGAGCAGCCTGTCCTCTACCAGCTGCATTCTCCACAGGAAACAACCAGAGCACTGAGGACTATACACTCATCTGTCCGCAGGCTCCGGGCTCCTCACTGTGTATACAAACAGCTAACATTTGATTAGCTTGTGTTACCGTTAGCAGCGGGACTCGTCAGCCCGACAGTCGAGAGCAGCAGCCGCGGGATCAGAGCAGAGCCGCCCGGGAGGAGGAGAGGTTACTGGGTGTCACACACAGCAAACTCTCTTTAGCCAACCAGATAAAGTCAAGTTACCGTCTTTAAACTAAGTTGGTTACCAGCACGGAGCACGAAGAAGAGCCACACGGTAAGTTAGCTGAGCTTACTTTAACCAGCATTAGCCACATGGTTTGTTGTGTTTTCTGACAGCTTGTTGTTGTCATAATGCTAACTGAGCTAGCTAACATTAGCCAAGTTCATGTCAACGTTCATGTCCTGTTTCTTATCGCTTTTCGAATGCGATGTGCTCGTGCAATGTGTCTTATGGCACAGTTTGTTCATAGATAAAACGACGTAAATGATGCAAGAGCTGGCTAATAATTCATTGATAAGCGTAGTGAGGAGCAAAGGTATCATTGCACTGTTTGCCTGACAAAATGACAGTCTTCCATATCTCTTCATTTGTAAGCATTGCAAACAGGCGGCCAGCCAACTGTGTGATCTTACATTGCTTTGATTAAGGATCTGTATGTGTCAGTGGCATTACTACAAGCTGACACACTTGGTGTCAACCTTTATATATACAGTCTATGGTGTCAACCCACTGAACATATATTGGCGTTGTAGGATGAAATTAGTGCATGTTATTGTAACCCTGCTGTGTGATGTAGTATCAGGTGGTGGGAAGTAGGTCATTGGTGCTGCTGTCAACCTTGTTAGAAGCGTTATCAATGTTCTAATGGCTTGTTTAAACAAAATGGAATATACATAATTACCGATGATTTGAAAAGAAAAGAAAAGAAAGATTCACACCCCTCATTCTACTTTAAAAAATGCATATTATTACGGTTATTCAGAAAGTGTAGAATTTGTATTATTTTTAAATAAAATCAAAATCAGATGGCCAAGTGCGTTGCAGCATACATAAATGAATAATAAGAAACACATAAAGTGGGTAAAACATATACATACTGTATAGAAGTAGAAAGTATGGTTTTAAAATGTCCAAAATGCAGCTGATCAAACCAAGTACGTGTTTATTACACACAATCTAAGTTTGATTTATCAAAAAACCTTAAATGTTTATCATTGTACCTATTTTTAATGGCTGTAAATTAGCCTTATCTAATAGCCTGGCAGTGTTTTTTTTAAGTTACTGCTCTTCCTGCCTTAGAGGTAGTTTTGATTTTGTTTTGTGAGCTGTACTGAAGTGCTGGTTAATGATTGACCTGCTTGCCTTCTGATCAGCTGTATATCCTGCAGGTTAAACCAACACATGAAGCTGTGTGAAGGTTTCTGCCCTATGCTCTGCTACAGTATAAGCCTCAATTCTATGAGGCCTGAAGAGAAAAGACTAGACTCTGAGAAGGGAGTGGTACCACTGAGATATGAGGGGGAGGGACTGGGTGTAGCAGAATGCACTGTAATCATTGGCAGGCGTTCGGTCATTTATACACTTCCCTTCATTGTTGTTTTTATCAACAACAAAAAAACACATTTTTCTCATGTTCATGTTTTCATGTGGACATGCAGGTCCACTACTGTTGATTTCCTTTTGAAATTCTGCAGAGGGTTTCAACAAAATAGCTAGCCAATCAGAGCAGACTGGGCTCTGGTTTCAGACAGAGGGTGAACAGAGGTGCTGCAGCACAGTATGAGAAAAATAAAGACCTTTTTGAACATTCAACATTAGGGCTGCTTGATTATGGCAAAAATCATAATCTCGATTATTTGGGTCAATAATTGATATCACGATTATTAAAAACGATTATCCATTATCAGTGTTTCCCACAGAATTTGATTCTATTTGTGGGGGCACCGCACAAAAAAAGAAAAGGCAAAGGCCCCTTAACCTATTCGAGTGGTCCACGCGTCCACCCCCCCTCAAATAAGATAATACATGCAAGTTCATGGCTACTGTAGACAACGTTCTTGTTGCTCTGTGTTGCGTTGTTAATGAGTGAAACACACCAGAGTTGAGGATCTGTGGGGTTTATTCTCCCAAAAATATAATTTACAATATAGGCATTTAGCCGATTTACAATGACCATTTACAGGGACATTCTCCCTGGAGCAACTGAGGGCTAATTGCCTTACTCAAGGGCAAGTGGTGTTCCAGGCAGGATTTGAACTCGCAACCTTCCGATCATCAGCCCACCTCACTATCCATTAGAACACCAAAAAAAAAAAAAATTATAATTTTTTTTTTTATGAGATCCATTTGTGGCGGACCATATTTAATTGTGGCGGCCCGCCACAAATAAATCAATGTATGGGAAAGACATTACTTTGAAAACATCCATTTATTGAAAAAATTTGAACAGTATGTTTTTAACAGTTGATTACCCTGAACTTTACGTATAGTTCAACTGAAAAACCCCCCAAAAAAAGAAGAAAAATCGTTTTATTTCGATTACGTTGTTTTCGTAATCGTTGCAAGCCAAAATCGTAATTGCGATTAAATAGGATTCATTGAGCAGCCCTATATATCAACATACACATTTGAAACCTGAAAATGAGTCTTACGGAGCGTCCACACAGTAGCGTGCGTTGACGCTTGGCGGTGGCGTGTCTCAAGCTTGGGGAGTCAACGCGAGCAACGCGACCAACAACCAATCACATGAATCTCCCGCCCCCGACATACAAAGCAAAAAACATTCCATCTATATATAATGCCTATGCCTGCTAGCTGTCCATTCAATGTTTAAACGAGGTACACTGGATATAAACTCCCCAAACAGACGAAAACCTACCAGTT